GTGTGTGGTCTATATTACAGTCTGTTCTCTTTTTTGCCCCACCACAGTTCTGTAGCTTGGCTGGGCTGAGAGAAGGGACTGGCCCAGGATCCCCCAGGGAGCTGCCGCGGCTGAGGGAGCACCAGAAAAAGTTCTGCAAGCAAAGCCAACAGATCCTGGAGAGAAATTGCAGGGTTAAGAGATTCCCTTTCGATTTTGGAGAAAAAATACAAATCAGAATAGGACCCGCACAGCAAGGAGCAGCAGCCTATTCCTAATTTCTCTCTCATCTTTCATTCAGGAGCTCGAGGCAGCGTTACACAATTCCCCCTCCTCCCATTTCCCCCACAAGTACAAGGGTGGCCCAAAGTCTCCCATGAGGCTTCAGCGGCTGAGGGGGCAAAAAGCTGGGTCTCCCAAGGAGCTTCCATTTAAATGACTCCCTAAAGGCCTTGGACAAATACCCAGATCTTCACCTGGGCTGAAGAGATGATCAATACAGGCGCAGCGGAGCACTGCTGGGGAGGCGGTTCCTGGGCTGGCAGGTCTCTGCCAAGCAGGCCTTTTCTCCAAGGGCCAGCCCGAGCCTCTCTGGAGGCTATTGGAGGTGCTGGAGGTGCTGCAACCTTTAGGTGCTTTGCTGTATCACCTGTGGACAGGTGCGCTTCCCAGCATGCTTTGCTGGTCTAGAAACAATGGCCCTGAAATGCCCATGTAACACCTCTGCTTTGCCAGCTGCACTGGTTGCCAGTTTGCTTCTGGGTGCCGTATATGGCATGGGCCTGGTTACCTGAGGGACCGCCTGTTTCCTATAGCGTCTACCCAGCCAGCCTGACCTTGCAGGGCTGATGCGCTCTGGGTTCCTACGTCATCTATCGGGACCCTGGAAGTGGACCTTCTCTGTAGCAGCAGCTGCCCTCTGGAACAAGGTCCCCCCCAAGATCGGATACCCCTCCTGCTGGACTGGACTGGATGGGAAGAAACACCTGGAGGGAGACGGTCCCTCAAGTAAGAGGGGCCCAAGCCGTGAAGGGCTTTAAAGGTGACAACCGGCACTCTGAATTGCACCCGGAAGCACACTGGAAACCAATGCAGCTCATGAAGTAGTGGTGTTACATGCGCTGAGTAACCGGCGCCATTGACTGCTT